TCTGTCTGACTACGTTCGCGTCGCTCGTCCTCTTGTTCCTCGGGTTCTTGCCTCTCTCGTTACCGACTCGTCTTTTCCGGTCTCGTGTCTTAACGCTCTTGTCGCTGCGGTAGCTGACTTTGCCTCTACCCGCCGCCTTGACTACGCCACCGCTCTGGTCTCTGACCCTGCCAGTCCTCTGTCTGTCGGGGGTACTCCTGCCCTCGGCAGTGACGTCCTGGAGGACCGCCAGTACGAGCTTGCTTTCCTGTCCGAGGCTGCTCCCCATCTCTGTTCCATGATGTTAGTCCCTGAGGGTGACCCAGACGCTTTCGACATCCCGACCCCTCGCACTTACGCTGAGGCGACCTCGGGACCTTGGGCCTCTCAGTGGATAGCTGCCATGGAGCAGGAGATGGCATCTTGGAGATCCACTGGCACCTCCGTCGACGCAGTTCCCCCGCCTGGGGTGAACGTAGTCGATGGCCGCTGGCTCTTCAAGGTGAAGCGCCCTCCTGGAGAGCCGCCTGTGTTCAAGGCGCGCTACGTGGCTAGAGGCTTTAGCCTGCGTGAGGGGGTGGACTTCTTTCAGACTTTCGCCCCGACCCCGAAGATGACTACTCTTCGGGCACTACTACACGTAGCAGCACAGCGTGACTACGAGTTACACTACCTGTGCCGACCTCAGGGTTTCACTGGTACCTTCCCTCTCGGGACTCAGTGGCTCCTGCGGCGCCCAGTCTACGGCTTGCGCCAGGCGCCCCGCGAGTGGCACGACACGCTGCGTGCTACCCTTGCAGACCTGCTGTTCTTTCTATCCTCCGCAGACCCCTCGCTCTTCGTTCGTTCTGGCCAAACTCCGTTCTACATCCTTGTTTACGTAGACGATCTGGTCTTTGCCACTGCAGACACCACCGCGCTGGCCTTTGTGAAGGCTGAGCTGCTGAGGAGACACACCTGCGCTGACCTAGGAGAGCCGCGCCACTACTTGGGCCTGCAGATCTCCAGAGACAGAGCAGCGCGCACCATCACTCTCACCCAGTCACACTTGGTGCGCTAGGTCCTTCAGAGGTTCGGTCTTCAGTTCTCCTCTGCACAGCCCACATCTCTTCCAGTAGATCACAGGCTCTCTGCTCCAGTCCCAGAGGAGTCAGCAGTGCCCAGTGGTCCTTACGCAGAGCTGGTGGGTTGCCTCATGTACCTGATGACTTGCACTCATCCAGATCTTGCATACCCTCTCAGCATCCTGGCTCGCTTTGTGGCCACAGGCAGACACAGACCTCAGCACTGGTCTGCAGCTAAAAGGGTTTTGCGTTATCTCGCGAGTACATCAGGCTTGGGGTTAGTGCTGGGAGGACGCAGGCCAATGGTCCTTACTGGGCACACAGACGCTTCTTGGGCAGACCACGCCGAGACCCTTAGGTCCTCACAGGGCTACTGCTTTAGTCTTGGCTCAGGTGCTGTCTCGTGGAGAGCTACTCGCTCTTCGTCTGTTGCCCAGTCCAGCTGTAAGGCCGAGATCTACGCCGGTGCCATGGCGGCACTGGAGCTCCGCTGGCTGACCTTCTTGCTCACTGACTTAGGTGAGCGGCCTAGCTCTGTCCCGGTCCTGTACGCTGACAATAGGGCCATGATCCCCCGGTCTTTAGACCCTTGCCTCAGAGGCTATACTAGTAGTGCCGCCCTGAGCTGCTTGTTCTCGTGTTAGGCACTGCCCCTATATAGTCTAGGGGGTGTGTCAAACTTATCTTAGTATGTTACTGTAGACTATAGAGGTTTGTGTCTTAGAGGGTACAACTCCCGAGCTTATATTACCTTGTACTCTCCTATTCTAACCATTATTCAGTTTTGAGACCTTTGACGTTCCTAGAGAAATATGAGGCGCGGGCTTTAACTAAACCAGGTTCTCGGTTTGGTTATTTTGTCGAAACAAAAATACCTCGCCACTTGCGCTTTCTTTATCGTCCAATTTATTTGCCTCGCCCACCAATCACATTCTACCTTTCCCAACCGAGCGTAAATATGAGACGGGGGCTTTAAGGAATTTTCTGTCAGCATGTAAGGGTTACTTCTTCCCTTATCAATATAGAAAGTGTACTATGCGACGTTCTGCTGTTCAGAAACACCGTATACCGCACTGTACCGCATTCGCTGCATACAGGCCATCCTGTCTTGGGATAATCGCCTTCCCGATAATTAGGTCACCCCATATTTTGACCTCCATATTCTCTAGGCCTCGCCTTTCAAGCCTTTCCTCACCTCTTTTATCGGTGCTCTCGCGAATGTCACATCTCTCCGCGCTTACCGCACGACGCCATCGCAGCCGAGTCCTAACGTCGCACAGCCCCGCTGGCGACGCTTTGTGCGACCCTGTGCGAGGGACCGGCGCTTCGTCGCTGCTGTCGCGACACTGGACTGCACACACCGACGTTAGTACCAGCCTCGAAACTGCTGCTGCTGCCGCCACCGTTACTACCTCAGGCTCGTCGTATAATAGTGCTTTTGGAGATGTAGGAATTTCCAGCGACGTAGGTCGTTCCAGCGATGTAGGTCGTTCCGGCGATGTGGGGTTCGGTCGTGGGGAGCACGGCGGGCTGCTGCCGTGGAAGGAGCGGCTGAAACGGCGACAGCTCGAAGCAGCCCTGAGCCATCGCGAATCGCTCCAGGTGGGAGACAAGTTGAACAACCCACATCCAAGTCCGTCTTGGTAGTAGGGTAGTTTGGTGTCAGAAAATAGCTTCTAGATTTCTTACGAGCCGTTACACTATCGTGATTCGGTTTATAGACGAGTTTGTCCAGCCCGGGTGTTTCCTGTTGCCAATAACGAGACCAGGCCAAGTTGACAATAACGAGGCCAGGCCAAGTTGACAATATTTCCCACTCGGAACGGGGTGCAGTCTTCTGGGTAGTTCTATTTGCACGCCCGGTGCAGGTTAGAACTTGCAATTAGACCACGTGCAAGCATTACCATCAACTTGCACACCATGTGACGTCAGCTTGTCGCCATGTGAAATTCGCTCTATTCCCCCTCCCCTCTTCCTCTCCCCCCACAACAGGGACCCGCGCTGCAGGCGCGCCTACGCCTGGACCAGCGCCTGCGCGCAGCAGGGATCCGCCCTCCGCCCACCCTAGAGGAGCTTCCGCGGCTTCCCCCTGGGCCAACTTCCGCAGCGTCCTCTCGGCAAATTACAAACGGCCACGTGGCAGAGGGGCTCATCATGACTGCTGCGGTAACAGCTTCCAGAAGCGTCAGCCAAGCAGCTTCCTTGCAGGCAGCTGGCAGGATATCGGTAGATGACACCACTAGGGAGAGGGTAACTTTGGGTATTACCCCGACTGGGATGGGAGCAATGTCGGCAGACGGTGAGGGTCGAGAAGGAGGAGGAAGAGGACAATGGGAGAGGGGAAGAAGGGGTGTTGATGGGCGGGAGACGGTTGAAGTAGATGGGAGCAGCAGGAGCAGCATGAGGCACCACAGAAGCAGCAGGGAAGCAAGTGGTGGTGTAGACGAACAGGCTGAGCTCGATGGCAGGAGCTGTGACACGAGCAGCAGCCAAAGCAGCAGAAGCAGCGGAAGCAGCAGGAGTAGTAGAAGCAGTGGGAGCAACAGTACCAGCAGTAGCAGCAGGAGCAGTGATGCCAGCAGGAGCAGCAGTGGGAGAAGCGGCAGCAGTCGGAGCAGCAGCAGCAGCAGTCATGAGCGTAGCACTGGGAGTGCTCGTGGTGAGGGCAGCAGAGCACAGCACAGCAGACAGCAGCATCACAGTAGCGCTAGCAGACATGCCAGCACTAGCGCTAGCAGGGAAAGGAGCAGCAGCCGCACCCACCACCATCATCACCACCACCACCACCATGAGCAACATCAGCATGCATGGAGCAGCAGCAGTAGCAGCAAGAGTAGTGGAAACAGAAGAGGCAGCAGTAGCCGTGGTTCTGCTGGTGGGCCTGATGAAGGGGGTGGTGGCAGCAGTACACTGAGCAGCAGGTGCATGAGTGCTGGATTGGGTCTGAATGGACTCCTGTCAGCTGGGGATGCTGTTGATGATGTATGTGATGGTATACGACGCATGGCTCTGGCACACTCTGGCGGATGTGATTCTAACAAGGGGAAGGAGAAGGCTGATTTCTCTATTGGTGCTGCTGCTGAGGCTACAAGCGATTCTGACAGAGAAGAGGATGGGATGATGGTGAAGGGGGATGGACAGGAGTGCAGTGTGTGCTTGGAGAGCATGGGTAATGGAGCCTCTCTGATGTGGTTACCCTGTGCACATGGTTTCCACCATGATTGCATCATGACATGGGTCATGGGAGGCCATTCAAGCTGTCCCTGCTGTCGCCACCCATTATAGCCCTCAAAGCACATAATGTACAGCGCACTACGTATGCCTAATCTGTTGTAATGCTTCATATCTTCCCCACTATTACAAGTGGGACTAGCATGACTCTAGAGTCCATGTTGCCATGTGTTGTTTCTTGTTGATTATAAAAAGTATTGATATGCTTTCGTATATGTGGAGCTGACGATAACAATGCTCTATTTCCTTGCAGAACTCCAGTCGCAATATCGACATTTTTTCTGTACAACCAAGATCCTCCTCGCCCTCCTTCCAAGAATCCGTCAGCCACTCGCGTCACCTCCTGAAAGCAGGGTCCGACGTCAGCATCGCCTGTGCTGACGCGAAACTCTGCCACCCGCTACATGTGGCAGAGCATCGGCCATTCTTCGACCCTCGCTTTGCCAGCGTGGGATCCATCGCCCTCGGAGTCATATCCGATTCAGGAGAAGCAACGCATGCATGCTCGGTTTCTGGAAGTTGCCCTACCAACGTGCCATACTCAGGACGCGGTGCTTCTGTAATGAAGCTGGAACCTCACGTTCAGAAGTAATGATGGGTGAAAGGTGGTGTAGACCTAGTAAGAAGGGTTCCACGTGGTATAGCCTGGTATCGTTGGACAAGTGCGGAAGCCTGTTCGAACCAAAAGCATGTACTCCCCTCGCATCAGCATTGCTCAGCAATTGCGTCTCTGATTGTGAAGTGGAGCCAGCGTATTCTAGCAAGCCAGGGGATATGCTGGTAGCAAGCCAGGGAATATAGCAAGCCAAGTTTCTAGGCTGCTTGTAGGACGGAAACTGACTTGTTATTCTTGGCGTAGGAGACGGTTCAGTTTTCAATCAGCCTTGCTTGACGTCGCAAGGTACGGAGGCGTCGCGTGCGGTCAGGTATCGCAGAAAACGCATGATTACGTTTTGCCTTCCCAGAATGGCTGGTTCGATGCGCAGAGGTTCTAGAATGCTTTGGTACTCCGAGTTCGTTGTCTCATTGCCGTGATATTGGCGGACTGAAAAGGAGAACATACTCACTTACGCTGTCACGCGCTATCTGACATTTCCCTGATGTGCTTCCATGGTTATGCTGGCGTCGAGATCGGATGGCTCACTACCAATGTCAATCAGATCCTCATGGCTGGCCGAGTCCACACACTCCTTTCCCATTTCCGTCCCTCCAAACAACTACTTAATGCAAACTTGATAATTAACTTCTTGAACCACACCGTACAATATTTCCCCATTACTCCCCTTCTTCCCGCCTCCTTCCTGTCCTTTCCCGTATTCTTTTCTCGCTCGCCGGGTCAGATGGCGTCGCAGCTCTGCTGCTCGGCCGCTGCCAGCGGCGCGCTTTCCGTGCCGTCCGCGTTACAAGCCAATGCGGCATCCGCTACCAGCGCCAGTGCCAGTCTTTTCCCCTCATACACCGGTCTGAACCAGTTGCGCCGCCCTTCTCAGACAGCCTCCTCTGCTACCACCCTCCCTCAGGTGATGCTAATCACCACCCTCAGCACCCTCCCCCTAAGGTAACCCCTGGCTCACCAACTTTCCTAAGGTAACGATGTAACCCTAATCATCAATGTTGCTGAGATTGTTACATCCTCTCGAACATGTTACAATCACTGGCTTCGCTTGCATCGCGTTGTTGGATTCCCCTTCAGCCTGAAAGAATGGCTCCATTGTGGTTCACGCACGAAAAAAACTCTTTTTCCCCTGCAGCTCACCCTTCTTGTGAGACCACCCGTCTCACCTTCCTCCCGCTTCCAACCCCCGCGCCTCTTCTCGCAACGTCTGTTGGATTTGCAGCGCAATGCGGAGGGGAAGCAGAGGCAGAGGGCAGTGGGGGTGCGAGCTGCCGTCACGCAGCAGCCGCCAGAGGCACCGGCTGTCAAAGAGGTGAGTAACGGGTACCGAACACCGAAGGGTTGAGAGGTGCGTAAAGGGTGCCAAACCCTTAGGGCTGACAGTTGAATGGTGATGTGTGAGTAACGGCTAGCAAACACCCAAGGGCTGAGAGGTGAGTAACGGATACCAAACACGCTATTGGAACTACCCAACCCCCCTTCCGGCGTCGCACCCTCGGCGCGCACCCTCCGCCGTTGATTCCTCTAGGAGATGGACGTGCAGATAGTCCCTCTGACGGACGACACGTTCACTCCTCTCCACTCGGATTCACTCCCCTCCCTCCCCCCCTGCTGCTCGCAGGAGAAGGACGTTCAGGTGGTCCGTCTCACCGACGACACCTTCACCCTGCGCGGGCGGTGCTACGAGCGGTTCAAGTTCGAGGTGGAGTACGGGCTGCGCGCCGGCACCACGGAGAACAGCTACGTCATCGAGGGGCCCGAGGGCGCCGCGCTGATCGACGTGCCGGACAGGGCATTCGCGCGCGCCTTCGTGGATGCTTTCGTGCGCGAGGCGAAGGACGCGGAGCACCTGGCGTACCTGATCATTGGACACCTCAGCCCCAAGCGTGTGGATAGCGTCATCCAGCTCGCCAAGACGCACCCCGCAGGAGGTGAGTGCGTGACACTGAGCACTGGTGATTGAATGATGAGACTGCGAGTCAGAAGCTGGTGATGGCCTGCGGTCCGCCAAGGGCGCGGAGCACCTGACGTATCTCATTATTGAGCACATGAGCCCCAAGCGCGTGGATCGCGTGATCCAGCTAGCCAAGTCGCACCCGGCAGGAGGTGAGGGACTGAGTGGTAGAAAAGGCCCACCGGGAGGGAGGGAGGTGGTGAGTGAGGAATGCGGTTGGTGAAGGCCCATAACAGAGATGCATACGAGTGAGAAATGTGCCGTACTGAGATTGCTCTTCAGTCAACTCGAGATATTTCTCAGAAAGAAGGCACAGCTGGATCGCACCTATCATGCGTTCACATCACACCTTGCTGCATGCAGTGCAGCTATGGCTCCTTCCTGTAACCTCGAGCTCCCCCCATCAAGATGTTTCTGCCGAAACAGTACACCATCATTAAGTCACACCTTTCTATATTCCCACCCCCTCCCCTCCCCCCACTTCCCCCCGCCCCATTCCCCCCCCTGCAACCGCAGAGCCCCCCATCAAGGTGTTTCTGTCGAACCCGGCGCATCAGACCCTGACCTCCCTGGTACCGGCGGACATCCTGGAGGCGACGTTCGACCTGCAGATCGTGCGCGCAGGGGACACGCTGGACCTGGGCGGCGGGCACCAGCTGCAGTTCATCCTCACGCCCACGCCGCGCTGGCCTGACGGGCTCACCACCTACGACCCCAAGACGCAGCTGCTCTTCACCAACAAGCTCTTCAGGTGCGTCTACTGGGGCTGACTACTCTAAAACATCCCCCTCCCCTCTCTTCACCTCTCTTCTGGACCTGGGCGGCGGGCACAATCTGCACCTCACCCTCACGCCATCGACGTGCTGGTCGAATGGGCTCACCACCAACGACCCCAAGACGCAGCTGCTCTTCACCAACAATCTCTTAAGGTCCGCTTCTTTGGTCTGTCCGCCCCTGTTCTGTTCCCGTCCGCCCCTTTCCCCCGGTCGGCTCCTGTCCCCCTGTCGGCTCCTGTCCCCCTGTCGGCTCCTGTCCCCCTGTGCGCCCCTGTCCCCCTGTGCGCCCCTGTCCCCCTGTGCGCCCCTGTCCCCCTGTGCGCCCCTTCCCCCCTGTGCTCCCCTGTCCCCCGTACCAGCGCCCATGTGTGCATGGGCGAGGACTTAGATCTAGGCGGCATGGAGCCACACTCTCTCACCCCCTCCGTCTATCCTTCCTTCTTCCCCTCCTGCTTTCCCTGCAGCGCCCATGTGTGCATGGGTGAAGATTTCGATGTGGGCGGCATAGAGGCGTATGACATGCACTGGCGCTACTTCTACGACTGCATGCTCGCCCCTGTCGCCAAGCAGGTATGGCATGCTCGCCCCTGTCGCCAAGCAGGCATGGCATGCTCGCCCCTGTCGCCAAGCAGGTATGCCGGCAGGCTCGCCCCTATTGTGCGTGCTATTGTCTCTCCTGCGTGCTGCTGTCATCAACCATGTATACCCCCATTCACCCCTCGCATCCCCATTCACCCCTCGCATCCCCATTCACCCCTCGCATCCCCATTCACCCCTCGCATCCCCATTCACCCCTCGCATCCCCATTTTCTCCTCACTCCCTCATTCCCACTTCGCTCCCTCATTCCCTCCTCACTCCCTCATTTTCTCCTCACTCTCCCCTCAAGCGGTCCTTATATTGATCGAAAGATAGTGTACATGGTGCGTGGTAGGCATGGGCAAGTATAACCCGGCTAGCAGGGGCAAAGCTACGTCTAGCCTAGGGGAGCTCCACCAAGGGCTCCAGGATGGCTCCCCTCACTCTCTCATTCGCCCCTCGTCCCCCTCACCCTCACCTCGCGTCCTCCTCTCGCCCCTGTCTCCCCCAGGTGGACGCGGCGCTCAAGAAGCTCCCCGTGGCGGCTCAGTTCGCCCCGCCCTGCTATGCTGGCAAGACAGGGCTGGACGTGGTCAAGGTGAGCTGGTTACCACCACGAGTTACTGTTTGCACCGCTAGCCACTACCTTTTTTGCAACTCCCAGCCTCATCAAACTGTCGTTTTAACCCCCTTCTGTCTCTCTCCCCCACCCACTTTCCGTGTTGATTCCGTCCGCTGCCTACCTCTTGCACCTGCCCCTCCCCACACGCCCCCTGCCTTCATCTCTCCACTCTCCCAGGCCGACGTGGGGTGCATTCTCTCCCGCCTCCTCTCTCGGCTCTCAAATCGGCATTGCCACGGCAGCCAGTTGCTGGACCTGCCTCTCGCTACCCCAAGCCCTTGACTCTTTTCCCCGTCTCTCCCGTCCGTTCATCCCGTCCGTTCATCCCGTCCGTTCATCCCGTCCGTTCATCCCGTCCGTTCATCCCGTCCGTTCATCCCGTCCGTTCATCCCATCCGTTCATCCCTTCCGTTCCCTCCTTCCGTTCATCCCTTCCCAGGCCGATGTGGGGTTCATCTTCTCGCGCCTGCTCTCCGCCCTCAACCTGGACATCAACACAGCAACCAACCTGAGGCTGTCAGTGGGCGGCTCTAGGAAGGGCGCCATGCCTGGCGTGGCGGGCGAGCCGCTGGTCACTGCCGCCATCTGCCCACTTCATGGACCCATCATCCGCAACAGCGTCACTGAGCTCGTTAGAGAGTACAAGCTGGTGAGCGCTGAAAGTGCTGTGAGTTCTGTGAGTGCCGAGAGTGCTGAGAGTGCTGTGAGTGCCAAGAGTGCTGTGAGTGCTGAAGCCCTGGATGCTTGAGGTTAGGACATCTGCCCCCATCATCTGCAACAGCGTCACTGAGCTCGTCAGAGAGTACAAGCTGATGAGACTTGGGTTGGTCCAGTGGGGAGGGGACGCCATCAGGCACTGCTGCCATCTGCCCCCTGCATGGCCCCCTCATTTGCAACAGCGTCACTGAGCTCGTCAGAGAGTACAAGCTGGTGAGTGTGGGGCGAAACTTGATAGAGCTCCTGTGGGCAAAGCTTGGGTTGTTGTGGGTCAGTCAATTTGGGGGAAAAGGTTCTGATGACAGTAGATCACGAATCTGCATTTTCTGTTCAGCCGTTGGCTCAGTGTCCTGCTTGTTTGGCGTGATGACGACCCTTACTTCCTCCAACCAGAGAAGGTACGGCAGCCTTCTGAGGCGCCTAAAATTTTCACACAAAAAAAAAAAAAGACCACTCTTGAGGCGCCTCAAAAGTTTGTCGTGATGACTACCCTTCTTTCCACCAACTAGATGACAGATGAGGCGATACGGCAGCCAGAGCAGGCAGCGATGCCTTTTGAAAAATCCCTGATTAATAACCTCGTAATTCCCTTGTTTCCCAATCACCCCCAAATCCCGACCAGTGGACGGATGGGAAGATCAGGCAGGCAGAGGAGGCGACAGTGGCTGTGATCTCTTCCCCTTCCAGTGCCACGCACCTCCCAATCACCCCTTGTTCCACAACCACCCCCATTACCCCCGACCAGTGGACGGATGAGAAGATCAGGCAGGCAGAGGAGGCCACAGTGGCTGTGTTCTACGCGTCAGCCTACGGCAACACCTCCGCTCTCGCACAGGCTATCAGGTAACACCTTTCCCCTGCACAGGCCATCAGGTCACACCTCCCCCTTGCACAGGTCCATCAGTTAACACCTCCCCCTTGCACGGGCTCTCACGTCCTTCTGCCCCCCACCCCGCTCCCATTCTCAACGGCCCCACCGCAACTGGAAAATCCCACACCCCTCTCTCTCTCACCCCCCCCCCCCCCCCCGCCTTTCTCTGGGCTCTTTCTCTCCCCATCCCTTCCAGTCGTGGTCTGCTGCGAGCAGGAGTGGGAGTCGAGACCATCAACTGCGAGATGGCAACAGTGGCGGAGCTGCAGTCGGCCATCCAGCGGTGCTGCGGCTTCGTGGTGGGCAGCCCCACGCTGGGCGGCCACATGCCCACGCCAATGAAGGAGGCGCTGGGGGTCATCCTCAATGAGCCCGCCGCGAAGGGCAAGCCCACTGGCGTGTTCGGGTCGTTCGGGTGGAGCGGGGAGGCGGTGGACGAGATGGAGCAGCTGCTGAAAGATGGCGGATTTTCCTTTGGGTTCCCCCCCATCCGCTGCAAGTTCAAGGTGAGCAGGGAGGGATGCGCAAGGTGTTCGTTGAGTGAGCGACGGCCTGAGGAGTCCAACAGTTTTTTCGGTGGAGCGGGGACATGGGGGACGAGATGGAGCAGCTGCTGAAAGGATGGTGGGTTCTCGTTTGGCTTCCCCCCACCCGCTGCAAGTTCAAGGCGAGGAGGGATCTGTCGTTTTTTCCCAACAACCCTCTCCTCCCTGCCCCTCTCTCCCCCGTGCCTGTGCGCTGTGTGGCAGCCCACGGAGGGCATGCTGCAGATCTGTGAGGAAAGTGGCAGAGACTTGGCCAGGGAGGTGAGCTCCACTGTTCCACATCTCGTGTTAGCAGTTTCGAATCCTGCAGGCTCTGCTTGTTCTGCACTTCCCTCGCTGCTCTGCACCTCCCTCATGGCTCCGCGCATCCTTGATTCTTCCACTCCACCTCTGTCCACCCCTCTCCACCTCTCCCCACCTCTTTCCACCTCGCAGATCCGCAAGGGCAAGGCCAAGCAGCGCAGCACGTCGGCCAAGTCAGCTGTGGTGTCCGGGTCCGGAGTGGAGCAGGTGGGTTGGTGGGTTGGTGGTGGGATCGAGTGGAGCAGGTGGGTTGGTGGGTTGGTGGTGGGATCGAGTGGAGCAGGTGGGTTGGTGGGTTGGTGGTGGGATCGAGTGGAGCAGGTGGGTTGGTGGGTTGGTGGTGGGATCGAGTGGAGCAGGTGGGTTGGTGGGTTGTTGGTGGGATCGAGTGGAGCAGGTGGGTTGGTGGGTTGGTGGTGGGATCGAGTGAAGCAGGTGGGTTGGTGGTGGGATCGAGTGGAGCAGGTGGGTTGGTGGGTTGGTGGGTTGGTGGGTTGGTGGGTTGGAGTGACAAGAGTAGCCGCATTGCATGCTGTTGAACTAGGGGTGTACCAGGAGGGGCCAGGAGGCCAAGCAGCACAGCGCAGAGGCAAGAGGGAGCGACATCCTTGCTGCTAGTTGAGCGGACTAGCCTCCATCTCCTCCCCCCCCAGGTCCTCCCCATCCTCGCATGCGGCAGGCAGAGTGGTCGGGTCGATGTGCGTGGTATCCTCCCCCCAGTGGGTGCAGCAACGCTCAGAGCGCTGTGTTTGCTGCTAGTTGTTGTGCTGGCTGATATTTACTCCACCCCCTCCGCCGCCCCCCTCTGTGCAGGCTGTTGGCAGGGTGGTGGGGTCGCTGTGCGTGGTGTCGGCCATCAGTGGGGACCGCGATGCGCAGAGCGCCATGCTTGCCTCGTGGGTCTCCCAAGCTTCCTTCAACCCTCCTGGCGTCACTGTTGCTGTAAGCCATGCCCCTTCCTTTTTCCCCACCGTGCATGCACCGTGCACTGCACCCACCATGCACCCACCATGCCCCTACCATCCATGCCCCCACCACGCCCCTACCATGCCACATGTGATCCATGGCCTATCTCATGGTAGAAGGTGTCTCCTGACCAGAGCATATGTTATCAGGGCATTTGCCCTGACTTGACTGAAATTCTAATGTAGTTTTTGCACCAGCCCTGATTTTCTCCGGGTTTGTTTTTACCCAACCCTGATAAAATCCGGGAAGGTCTCAAGGCGACCCTAGAAAATCCGAGTAGAGTTTTTTGCGACCCTGATTTTTCCCACTACCCAAACCCTCCCCTCCCGGTGCCCCCCCCTAGAATAGAGTTTCTCCTACTCCCTAACACCCGTCACTCTTCCTAGGACCCGGTTACCAGGGTTTTACTGTAGTTGGGAAGGAGTACTTCCAACATACCCCTAGAAAACACGTGACTCCGATGAGCCGCGGAGCATGGAACAACCTCAAGAAAAAACCTTGAAAATGTGCGCCCTTCGAGCATTTTTTCGGCTGGCCCTGAAAAAACAGAGCAGTTCATATTCGGACCCTGAGTTTTCAGGGTGAAATTCGAAGGGAGCCCTGAGCGCCAGAGCTGTTAAAAAACCTAACATAAGCCCTGCTCCTGACATGGCTCCTGGCATCTCTCTGCCTCTCACTCTTGCAATGTCTTCCACATTCCCCGGTAACCTTGATCCTGCTTCGTGCAATGTGATCCAGCTCGTAGGGGGCCGAACCCGCAGGCGGTTTAACCCACGCTAGCCTGCTAGTTTGTTGAGTAGCTGGTGCTGGTGGGGGCAAGTTCGCCCTCAGCGTGCTGGGTGCTGGTGGTGGCCATCCAACGACATCCCCCAAACCCTCCACCCCCCCCACACACACACCTCCTCAGGTGGCCAAGGAAGGAGTGCTTGAGTCGCTGGTCTGGTGGGGGGCAAGTTTGCTTTCAGCGTGCTGGGTGCTGCTGGTGGCCATCCTCGCCTCTTCCACCTTCCCTCCCCCTTCCTTCAATCACGTCCCCCAAACACCCCCTCACACACACACACACACACACACACACACACACACACACACACACACACACACCTCCTCAGGTGGCCAAGGAGAGAGTGCTGGAGTCGCTGGTGCTGGTGGGGGGGAAGTTTGCGCTGAGCGTTCTGGGTGCTGGTGGTGGCCATCCCCTCTCCCTCATTCCTCACATGTCCCCTCCCCCTTACTCCTCGCTCCCCCTCAGGTGGCCAAGGAGAGAGCGCTGGAGTCGCTGGTGCTGGTGGGGGGGAAGTTTGCCCTCAGCGTTCTCGGAGACAAGAACGCGGGTGCAGTTTCCAAGCAGCTTCTCAAGCCGTTCCAGCCTGGAGAACCGAGGTTCGGCGATCTCCCGACCAAGCAGGCCAGCAACGGCGCCACCATCCTGGCTGATGCGGTACGTGTGGTCTGGGGGTTGATGTTTGGCTCGATCTGTTGCACTGTGGAAAATGCTCTCCACCCCCTCTCCCCTCTCCATCCATCTGCTCTCGTTCCCTGAGCTTGCCCATCGTTGCCTGTACCAGTTGCACCTTGGGTGCACAGTGCAAGCACACACATGGTTAGACATTTGCCATCGCCCTCTGACTCCCTCTATCCAATTCAGTGTCGTATCTCATACCTGGAGTGCACGGTGCACGCGCACATGTCAAATTAACAACCACATGGCTCTACCTCTTATTATCCAATGCACGTCAGATCTCATATCTGGAGTGCACGGTGCAAACACGCATGGAGAGTGGCGACCACTGGGTCATCTATGCCACTGTTGACTCAGGCGACGTCCTCGTGAGTTGCTCTCTCCCTCTTCCAAGCACCCCCTCTCTCGCACTTGTGTATGTCTTGTCTTTGGTGAGGATACCCAAATGCTAGCCATGTTCTCTGTATGTAACGCCATGTAACGCCATGTAATGCCATGTTTTGCACGTGGTTACTAGCCAATATGCTGCTATGCTCGCATGGCTTGCAGGACACACATATGCCTCATGCATTATGCACTAGAACTAACTCCCATCGGGCATATTCCCACTGCTCGATGCACACTACTGAATTGCCCTCTAAACAGGATGAGAAGACACTTACAGCACTGCACCACCGCAAGTCCGGCAGCCGCTACTGAAAAAGGACTGACAGCTCACTCGCCTGCATTAGATCTAGGAGAGTTTCACAAAAATATTGTGTGTTGCTTGTGTGATGTGGGCTGCAAACCTGTTCTGTTGTTTCGAATTCTGTTGGAGTAAAACAGGTGTTTGGGGTGGTCAGGATCTAGAGTTGGTGGAACCAAGAGTAAAAAGTAAGTGGAACCAAAATTTGGTTTCACGCTACTAATACAGTCTTATAATTACATCAGGAATGCATAAGTGGTAACTGTGACGAGTAAACATCAATAAATTCTATACTAGCATGATATGCGTTGAGATGACAAATGTTCTCCATGTAATGGCTAGAAAGTAGATATCTTTGAGGGCTCTAATGTATCATGGACGAATTATATATTTCCTAGTTACAGTTTGCGGATCATTTTGCGACAGCAAGATCGTCTTCTAGATCCGTCGCGCATCTTGAGATTTGCTTGCTTAGCCGTTCGGCTGGCTTGGCGCCAGCTCGTTTCGCCCTCGTCGCCCCTCTGCCACAGGCCCACCTTATCCAGCGCCACATCATTTGACGCCATGGCTGACGGCACTTTGTGGTGAAAAATGCGGGCTCAGCTTGATGCCGAGCCTGGACTCGAAATTCGTGGTTCGTGATGGAGTTACCCTGAACCACTGTGTTCGCAAATCCTTTTGACGAAGCGGCTGCTTTAGTTCGTTATTGCAGCTTGCTGTCGCAAACGCAGAGGCATCACCGAAGCACTTGGCACGTGGCATCACAATGGCACTACGTGTGGAAGGAGACTACCCGTACCTTTTTCCGTGCCAGAATCATAGCTGGTTAGCCGCAATTCCACGTCAGGTCGGTACTATTCATTCACGCCTCGACTTTCCTCATCCACCCGCACCGCATCGAGCTGCATCCAACATCAAGAGGGAGGGGGCTCCTCCCCCACATAGGCAAATTATGATCCCCCCCGCCAAACAGCGGAGCTCCCTTGGAAATGTCGCAGGGATCCCACAGCTGTCCCGCATCTCCCCCTGCCGAACCCGCACCTTTCAAGCGGAACCCCACCCCCCGACTCCCAAGGGCACTCCTCAGCTCCCCCCAACCTTCGTGAGGGAGGGGAAACCAACCTCGGTGCTGCTCGCTAGCGGAACGACTTTCCGCCAGCGTTGCTTCCGGGTTGCGCAGTGGTTAGTGGTGAGTCAGAACCAGCGCGTGCTCCGTCACCTTCTCTCCCTTCCTCCGCGGCGTTCGCTGTCATCCGCTCCCGCTGAGCTAAGCTCTCGAACGCTTTTCGAACTCGATTTCATACCTTTTTACCTAGCCTTCTCAAGCCTCCAAGCCTCCGCTTTGGTTCGCCTGATCAACACGACACGCCTGCCGTCTTGGACCCGCTTCCCTAAAGCGACCGCGGAAGAATTCATTTTTTTCGAAAAAAAAAAAAAGAGTGCCGAATCCATTGGATTTTAGGTCACAATTCGCCTTTTCGCTGGAAGCACGCGAGTAGCTTAGGTTCGCCAGAAGCGTACGCAAAAGATGGAGCGAGTATTTTCAGTAGACGATATTTTAGGCACGTTCTGGAAAGTAGACGGGCAGGGGGATTCCGCAGCCACTGCCGCCGCCGCCGCAGCCGCAGCAACAGGCGGAATGTTCCCCCCCGGTATGCTCCCCCCCGGAGTCCCCTACCCCGGCCATCCGCCCGGAGTAGCCGGGGGGGGCGGTGGCGGTAGCGAGTTGCAGCGGCCTATACCGCGTACAGGCTCGTTTCACCGGATGAACCGCAGCTCGTCCGAATGGGCCTTTCACGAATTCGTTAAGGAGCAAGGGCTGACCGGAGTGGGCGCTTTAGGCGCCGCAGGAGCCGCCGCGATTGGCGGCGGGAATGGCGCCGGACCGTCGGGTATGGGCCCGCCTGGCATGAACCCGTTAATTCCGGGGCTAAGCCAGGTGTCGAGTCTCGATAAGCTCCTAGGAGATAGTCCCTCGAAGCTTAATCTCGCAGCGTACTATCGCGGGTTAGACGGCGGAGCGGAAGGGGGGGCTGGCGCGGGTGGGGGGGCGGGGGTGGGAGCGGGGAGCGGAGAGGGCGGGGGAAGCAGGGCGGAGATGCAGGCGGGGAACAGCAGCGGCTTGGGCTCAGCGGATTGGGGAAGGCTGCAGGGGCGAACGGAGGGGGAGGGGCGCGGACGGATACCGAGACGGGCGATGTAGCCGGGGGAGGGGGCGGCGGCGGCGGCGCAGCAGCGTCTGCTCCCGCGCGGGGTGGGGGGTCGGGTTTCGAGGCGCCTCACACCAACCGAGCGGCGTCGGGCTTCTCCCCGCCATCGGTGGCACTCAGCCCGGCTCTCGCGTCTGGCGGAGCGGCAGCAGCAGCAGCCGGAAGCGGCGGCGGTGGCGGTGCGGGAAGAAGTGCCGCAGGCGTGGCGAGCCCTCCCCGCCGTGGCTTCCACGCGCATCCGCCGGCTCACAGACCCGCAACCCACGGCGCGACAGGCGCTACAGGCGCCACAGGCGCGCATGGAGCAGCAGAAGGAGGCGGAGGTGGCGGAAGAGGCAGAACAGGGGGAAGGGGAGGGGGAGGGGGGGGAGGCGGATCAGCAGCAGCGTCCGCGCGCGGGCATTCCTCCCGCGAGGCGTCGGAAGAGCCGCGGTCGGACGGCGAGGGCGGGCGATCCGAGGGCGAGTGCGAGCTAGTGGCGTCCTTAGAGCACCTGACGGACCCCGAGGAGATTAAGCGGGTCAAGCGCATGCTGTCGAACCGCGAGTCCGCGCGGCGGTCGCGGCGGCGCAAGCAGGCGCACGTGAGCGACCTGGAGGGGCACGTGAACCAGCTGCAGGCGGAGAACGCGAGTCTCGCGAGCAGGCTGGGGGAAATCGGGAGAAAGTACAACGAGGCGGCGGTGGATAACAGAGTGCTGAAATCCGACGTGGAGGCCTTGAGAGCTAAGGTAAGGATGCTTTCGGCACGCAGTTGTTTGGGCTCAGATTGGTTTCTGGGAGTTCCGGGTCTAGGCGCATGTGAACGACCTGTGCGACCTGCGAGCGACCTGTGAGCGATCTGTGAGCGACCTGTGAGTGACCTGCGAGCGACCTGTGAGCGACCTGTGAGCGACCTGTGAGCGACCTGTGGGCGACCTGGAGGGGCACGTGAACCAGCTGCATTTGGAAAACGCGAGTCTGGCTAGCCGGCTGGGGGAGACTGGGAGAAAGTGCAACAAGGCGGCGGCGGACACTAGAGTGTTGAGAGCCAAGGTAATATAGTTGGTTCCGGAGAGGAAAGGTAGCAGCTGTTTTGCAACAGCCGAGGTAATATTTCGTTTCGGAGAGCTAAGGTGAGAGAAGAGAACCAGCTGGGGGGGGAGTGCGAGGAGGTGCAACGAAGCGGTGGTGGATGATAGAGAGCTCAAGTTGGACGTGGACGCGTTGCGAGTTACGGTATAATCCAATCAGCTGTCTTCGGGTTCAACTTTTGGGCTGGTTGCTGGGCAGATGCGATTGTGAGGAGTGGGGAGGGTTGTTGTATGTCTTTCGTTCCTCTCGTTTTCATGTCTCCCTCACCTCTTGCCCTACTCCTGCCCCTCCTTCCCTTCGCCTACAGGTGAAGATGGCGGAGGAGATGGTGGGGCGAGTGGCGCACATGGCGCAGTACATGTATCACCAGCCCATGGCGTTCCACCACGACCCAGCCTCCGCTGCTGCCGCCGCCGCCGCTGCCCTGCCATACCCATCCCCCATCGACCTCCCCTACTACCCCCGCCCGCACCGCGCTGCGCAACCCCCTCCGCCCTCTCCGTACCCGCTCCCTCCCCATGCTGCTGCCGCACACGCTGCTGCAGCTCAATCCTCTCATGCCGCTAATGCTGCCTACGCCTCTCATGCTGCTCATGCGGCTAATGCTGCGCATGCTGCTGCCAACGGGGCCCCGCCATCTGGCGTGCACCCGAACCTCCTGCCGGGCCTCGGTTTGGGGCCAGGCATGGATCCGAACGTGTATGGTATGATGCAGGCAGGTATGGTGCAGGGAGGCATGGTGGGGGCGATGCCTGGTTCCATACCTGGGGGTGATCCATCAGCAGGCATGGGGGCGCATGGGGCGCATGGGTCTTCCTCTGCTGCTGCTGCTGCTGCTCATGCTGCTTATGCTGCTGCTGCAGCAGCAGCGGCAGGAGCAGCAGCAGCATCGGGAGGCGGAATGTCAGGCGCCACCACAGCAGCAACAGGCGGGTCGCCGGGACCGGGAGGAGGAGAGGGAGGTAACGGAGGAGCAGGAGGGGGGGCAGGAGGAGGAGGAGGGGGCAATAGTGGTTCTGGTGCTGGCCCTACTGATAGTGCAGGGGGGAAGATTGAGCGATCGGGCAGTCTGCAGCGGGTGTCAAGTTTAGAGCATCTGCAGAAGAGAATGAGAGGGGTGGGCGCAGCTGACGTGTCAGCTGCCACCTCAGCAGGAGCAGCAGCAGGAGGGGCGGCAGGAGGTGGTGGGACGGTGGCAGGAGCACCAGCAACGATGGCAGGGCATGAAGCGGCAGCAGCAGCGGCTGCGGCTGCAGCAGCTGCAGCAGGGATGTGGGCTTTGGGTTGGCATGGCACGGCTGCTGCAGGGGATGGGGCTGGTGGGGCTGGGATGGGTGGAGCTGTTGCGGGGCACAGTGGTACGGGAGCAAGTGCCTAAGGTTGGGGGGAGGGGGGCGGCGAGGAGGGGTCGCTGCAAGGAAACGGCGAGTCTGTGCATAATTTTTGCATTGGTTGCTTCTTGAAGCGTGTGTATGAAGGTGCTCCTAAGCTGCTCTGACAGACAGTAACATCTCACTTGTAAAAGCTCAAGATGGTTTCACCTCGTTGGTCTAAGTTTGTTTTTTTGTGTGTCCAGAATGAGGGCGTACAAAATTGTTTGGTTGAATTCCATTACTAGATTGTTGTTTTTGTTGTTGACGAGATTGCTTTTATATGCGTGCACTGTAGAGCGTAAATACCACCATCCTAGATTATATGGAACATGGCGAAGTGTAAATCCACGGTCTTGCGCACTGCACACGTGCCGTTCCCTCGCCAAAGGCACAGCTCGAATCAAAGCTTTCTGTTTTCGATTCGCACACTCTGGCACGCCGTAATGCAGATTCGGCGCGCATTTCCCCAGGCAAGTGGCCATGCCCCCCATTATTCTGGGAGATGGAGAAGCGTACTGGCGGGGGAGCAAAATATCGGGCGATGTGGCAGCTGACGGGGCGAGGTGTGATTGCAGTTACGCAGTGTATATGAAAACTGTTTCTGCCCTGTCACTACACTCGGACGCTCATATTGGTCGAAGCTG